GAAACATATTTTCATACAGTTTATATAGGTTGCAAGAGAGGGGGTTGAGGAAGGAAAAGGAAGACGGGGTGGAAGTCAGGGGTCAGTGAGTTGTTTCCATGATAAAATGCAAGCATGAAAATAGGGTATATTTGACGTGTTTTCCCGTTTGACGCTGCAGGCCAAATCATTAGTGGCCAAATGTGCTCACGAATAGGACGTAGACAACTTATGATAAAGTTTGACCATCTGGCTCTCGTTAGGGGCGAAGGGAGGGTCTTTTCCTGATTGGCCGAGTATCAGAGAATGCCGGCTGCCAATGGAGAGTTGAAGAGAAGAGGGACGGGAAGGGTATTATGGTCGTTGTTCATATTATCGAAAGATATTTCAAAAAACTCAGGACTGGTAAGCGACTTAATGCAATGTTGTGGACTTTGTAATATTTCGAATAGGGATACTCAACTGAAGTAAAACCCCTGATGTTTTGATTATTCTGTAATAACAGAGGTTTAGTGATGATCGCCTCCAGCAGTACATGATTATTTTGTGCTTGTATATGCGGATTTAAGGCACAGTTGAATGGTTTCAAGTATTATTTGGTGCGGAGACACCTCGGGAAACTACTGACTCCTTTCGAAAGTCACAGAGTGCAATTGGAATCAGCTTTTTTATCAATAGCTACGGATGTTCCACGTATCGAATGCAGATTGTTTCTGCATGGAATCAAATGGATGCGAACTTAAATCGTCCGTCCGTTGGATTCAAGTCACGCGTACATTTGATTGAGCATTTTTTTCTGGCGGCGACGCGAGGACACTAGTCTGATTTCGATGCCTCTTAATCATTATGAGGCAGTTGACTTAACCTGAAGTTCAGAAGGCCGTTTTTCTGTTTTAAAGCAGTGAACGGAGACACTCATTTAGGATGCATAAAAGCAGATAAATTCTTTCCAAGTTCATCGTATCGTTTTGAAGTATCATTTCGAAACAGAACGTAAAAACAAAACGCATGCGAATGATCTGCCGTCTGTGTTTATCCTCATGCTGACATTGTATTGACCAGTAAGTTGAGTTGCGCAGTCCCGGTCATTCATTTTCGAAAGCTGCGTATCCGTTCGGGTCGCAGAAGTACACGCGTCAGACAGTACAGTACTTCCTGCATTTGCGCTCCTGTGCTAGCATCCGACCTTCGGCAGACCTGGACAACCGCTGTCCAGGGCAGACTATTTCAATGCACCTGTGCTGGTTAATCTTGGCCGTACCCTGGATCTTTCGCCGGTCGGCTGGACAAGAATTAGTTGATTCGCCTTCCTCTTTTAAAGGCATTCGCAACACATGCCCACACCATCGCAGCGGCAGTACACCAAAGCGCTCTCGGATATCTGTACTCCGAGGCGCATTAGCCCAGCTATTCTTCTCAGAATGTCCATTTCATTTGTGTTGCACAGATGATATATCCTTGAACTGCGGATGTTAGGAGGTTGGAGCTGTAACTAGAAGAAAATGTCAATTTATTAGTATTTCTAAAGATCCGAGTCCTAAAATAGTGCTTTACGTATGTAGCCGTCATACGCTGGTGATTCTTTGACTGTTGAGGATTTAGCGTGTCATCGGCATTCAGTGAAAACACTGTGTCTGGTATGAAACGCAGCCTTCTGCCTTTCAACGATAGAACAGAGTATTAAATGTGTTAAGACTTTTATTTTTGCTCAAAGAGGTCCATCAGAACAGATGGAACCTGCTCCCAAGCTTCGTAAGCCATAGATTTCTCACCGAGCGGTTTTTGGGGTTCGTTGAACAACGCAACTTGGCGTTAATCCGGCCGCGACAGAGCAAACTCGCATAGCCAGATAGAAAACATTTATGTCGATGCCCTCCTCAACCTTGAATCGGCGTACCATGACCAGTTTTATCGAGGGACCAGAATCACATATGTTATGTCATGTTCATAAATTAAAAAGTGTTTCGCAGCTATAAAATGTCCAGCTTGACGATGTAGAGAACCACTTATGAACCACTTATTCAGAATCCCGTAGTCACGTGGTCAACTGACTCGACTTGTGCCGTCACTGCTGATAATTACCGATGCCCTATTACCCGATTGTTGTCGGTCGATCGGTGCGTGGGACGTAGTTGGGAGATACATACTGAAGGGAGTGTGTTAACAAATGAAACGATGACATCGAATGATGTTTAGGCTTAATTAACGCACAAACGTTTGGTTGGAAAACGACATATGAATGACGTAAAGCCATATATAAAACCAACTGCCCCTTCGTGATTCACAGTCGTACACTTCGTAGATTTGACCCTTTTGCCCAAAGTTTTCTCAAAACAGTTTTTTCGTGCTACGTTTTCCTTTGTAGACGCGAGGTTTGAACGACTCTAGCAAGTCGACTGAAGTGCAGGAGTAAGAAATGATCAATGAATTGGACGAGGTCCGCCGTGGTCAATGAAATGAATGTGCAGCGATGTGGCATGTGGCGATCGTTTGGGTTTCGATTTTATTTGGAGAGTTGTACCGTTGAGTAGCTTTACGAGTTTGACCGTTTGCATCTCTAGTCATTTCAAGAGTGACAGAACGTCAGATCGCCTAAACTGAGCGAGACATGTTCTATCGTGACTCGATTCGCTTCGAATTCCAGTCACGTCACGACGATTTCTGAGGTTCTGCTTTCGCTGTTGGTCGCTTGTAGTTCCCTGGAAAAGGCGGCGGACCCCCTGCCGATAAACCGGCGACGAAACGCACTGCACAAGAGGACTTGACTTAGCCATCGTCGTCATTTTTTGTCTGTACGATTCATCGTTGTCGACTTATGCGTCAGTTGTCATTGCTTTTTACGCTCTTGACGGCTAAACGACCAGTTTTTTACGCAAAGGCAAATACGTCGGCCGTGCTGTAGTCGAGAAACGCTTCGTGCGGTGACATGCCGACCTGTTCGTCGCTTTTGGCGATGACCAATGGCGTTCGGTCGAAATTACCGTAAGGTCGTAATTTGAGGTTTTGATTCGCCTGATCTAAAGGCAGGCAACCTTCTCCAAAGGTATTAAATTCGTAGTGCCTGGCTTTGCCTTGTTTACTCATAAAGCTTGCCTTAAATGCCGTACATTTTTATATGGGTAACGTAGAGCTCAGGATCATTATAAGATTTTCGTGTTTTGCATATTCGTCTTTGCTACAATGTTGCTACTCTTCTCTCTCATTCTTTGGAGACATCTGATTCTGTATGGGATGATTAAGCAGCATTGCTTTCACTACTTATTCGTTTATTTCACTTGACCATTCGGTGTACGAAGTAGCTTTTTACCTTGTCGTTGCCCACGAATCATCACATCAGTTGCAGAGAGCAGGTAGCGAGTGGAGCTAGTAATTAAATGGCAGGACGAAGAGAAAAGAGTCATTCTCTTTTCATTGTCATAAGGACCTGCCATTAACTTACTCCGAGACAATGGCAATAGCAGT